TTTTTTCCTTCTAATTAACTATTTAATGATATATTTTTTCTTCAATATTTAAATAGTGAAAATTAAATTGGTGATGAAGGTGTATCAAGCTTAGGTTCTGCTTTAGCAAAGTGCATTAATCTCTCAAAATTGACACTTGACCTTTCGTAAAAACAGTTTATTTGTTTTGGATTGTGATATTTTTAATTAAAAAAACTAATTAAAATCAATAAAGCTCTTTTTTCTTTTTCTTTTTATTGTGCTTGCTTTTTTTTGTTCTTTCTTTCTTTGTTAATTTAGTTCATCATTTTATTTTCAACTTTTGCTTTTATTGTTAATTAATCTTATTATTTCATATTTTTTCTTCATTTTTTCCTTCTAAATAACTATTTAATGATATATTTTTTCTTCAATATTTAAAAAGTTACAATGAAATTGGTGATGAAGGTGCATCAGGCTTAGGTTCTGCTTTAGCAAAGTGCATTAATCTCTCAAAATTGACACTTTTCCTTAGGTAAAAACAGTTTATTTTTTTTGTATTGTGATATTTTTAATTATAAAAACTAATTAAAAACAATAAAGCTCTTTTTTCTTTTTCTTTTTATTGTGCTTGCTTTTTTTTGTTCTTTCTTTCTTTCTTAATTTAGCACATCATTTTATTTACAACTTTTGCTTTTATTGTTAATTAATCTTATTATTTCATATTTTTTCTTCGTTTTTTCCTTCTAATTAACTATATAATGATATATTTTTTCTTCAATATTTAAATAGTAAAAATTAAATTGGTGATGAAGGTGCATCAGGCTTAGGTTCTGCTTTAGCAAAGTGCAATTATCTCTCAAATTTGACACTTTGGCTTGAGTAAAAACAGTTTGTTTGTTTTGGATTGTGAATAATTTAATTATAAAAACTAATTAAAAACAATAAAGCTCTTTTTTCTTTTTCTTTTTATTGTGCTTGCTTTTTTTTGTTCTTTCTTTCTTTCTTTCTTTCTTTGTTAATTTAGCTCATCATTTTATTTTCAACTTTTGCTTTTATTGTTAACTAATCTTATTATTTCATATTTTTTCTTCATTTTTTCCTTCTAATTAACTATTTAATGATATATTTTTTCTTCAATATTTAAAAAGTCACAATAAAATTGGTGATGAAGGTGCATCAGGCTTAGGTTCTGCTTTAGCAAAGTGCATTAATCTCTCAAATTTGACACTTGACCTTTCGTAAAAACAGTTTATTTGTTTTGGATTGTGATATTT